AAAAAAGAAAGAAATTAAATAAAAAACAAGTCGACACCGTCCGGCTGCTCGGAGGATGCCTCGGGATGGACGGCGCGTGCCTCTCAGCAGCTCACTTTAATCTTTTCGCAGGTGAGCTGGAGGCCACGCCCTGCTGCGGGCCGCGTCTTGTGCTGCGTTCAAGAGCGCCTCGTAAAAAAATCAGGCTCAGCAGCAGACTTCCAGGTTTGAGGAGAAAAGTTTGAGTTTAAAATAAAAATGGACGTTTTGGTGTTGGTATCATTGCAGTTTTATACAGTATTTATTAAAGCCAAGATTTTAGTAGCTGAAAAATCTGTAAAAATATGATTTAAACAAATGATAAAAGTGGTGGATATTATTTTTATTGTAAAGAGTGACAAAGATGATCCAGTTTCATRTAAACACACAGGGAGGAAGTTGAATTGGTCAGAGGGTGTGTTTAATGTGTGTAGGAATGCAGAGKTCATTTCCCAACCTGCAAAATATGAACAAATAAAGGGGAAGCAGGGGTGTGGCACTGCTGAGTCAGACCAGACCACTGAGAGTTCATCACTGTACCTCCAGCTGCTTTAACTTCAGGTCAGCATCAGCAGGTGAGGCTCTCAGGTGATCTTCAGCCATCACATTCCAAACAAGGAAACAGGTCTGCCTGCACCTCGTCTCCCAACCCCACCTTTCAGCTCCACAGGTTTCCATTTCCTACCATATATGGTCAAAGGCAGCAGAGAGAAAGAGACGGTTTCCAGAAAGAGAAGGCCCCAGAGCTCCAGTGTGTGCTGCTGCTGAGGTGTTGAGTTTCTCTGGCATCCCCCCCATCATTAAYCTGAGCTTCAGTCCTCCACGAGTCTCACATCAAAGATGAACGGATAAAATGTGAAGGAAACATGTAGCAACATGAATCACAACCATCGGTGCTTCCAGACGTGTTCAAATTTGTCTTCAAATCAAACATCAAGGGCTAAAACAATAAACCATGAGCCTGATACTGATTTAATAGTTTTATACTCCTGCACTGCTGCACAACTTTCAACAAATTGCACATATTTTCAAGCTTCAGATGGATGTTTTGGCCTTTTTTGAGGACGTGTTATGAACAGTTAATATCTTACCTGCTGCAGATGGCTTTTTGAAGAGCCTCAGTTTGGAGAAGTAAAGTTTAAATCCGGCAGAACTGACAAGAACGTGCTGCATTCGAGGTTATAATTGTTCAAATATCAACAAAAATGAAAAGTTTTGTGTGAAAAACCGAGTCAAGCTCCTGATCTGGCAGCTTGTAGAAACTTTTAGTCACAAAACGAGCAATAATCCCAGCATTCTGTATTAAAACATCAGAAAAACTAAAACTCTTTTTTATATATATACATTTGAAGGCTTTTGAGATGGAGACCCAAGATGGCGTCACAGGAGAACGTAAAATAGTGACAAACTGGATTTACATACAGATAAGTGTACTGATGGGGGTACTTAGAAGGTACTAGGGTGGACATACGGTGTACACAAGAGCAATTATATTTACAAAGTGTGTTTAGTGGTACTTACAGGGTAAATAACTATGGGAATCAGGTTGTTTACTTAGAAGATCCTCCTGGTTTATTTTCACAAACACTGACACACAACTTCTACCACTGTCAGTCAGCAGAAAGGTATGGTTAACAGCTGGAGTTCAGATAAAGGTGTCTCAGCTGGGTCCAGATCTGCATGACTTGTTGTGGAAGCATAAAAAAAAAAAGCCCAGCCGTTCTTGTTGGGTCATGTCCTGAAGGGAGCAGTGGTACATTTCACCAGAGGGGAAAGTGTTGATGAGGCAATGACAGCAGGAGATGAAACTGTCCAATGAAAAGCAGATTTTAGATTCACTGAATCAAGCAGATGAGGTGTATGAAGTCATCCTATAGAATTGTGTTTCAGTCAAGCAATTGTTTGTTCTTAAATTAACGACTCAGCAATTCCTTATAAGGATGGGAAGGATGAGCTCATCCTTAGCTCATTTGTTAAAAGCAGCTTTCAGTGGTAAACATGTTTGTGTGTCTTAAAACACATTTCAGGAGCAAACTCCTTTAACATAGAAAGAATGCATGTAGGCTGATCCTGCTTTGTTTACATCTGGGTGTGGTAGGAGGTTATAAGAAGGGGAGACACAGAAACTCTAGGCTCCATTATTCTGAATAAACCTCACTGTTCAAGAATAACTTTTGCCTTCAGAGTCATTTCTTTAAGCACTCCATCACTGCTGAAAGCTCGAAGACACAGAAGAACGGTCATCATTAAAATGCACTTCACGGATGAAAAAAAGCCAAAACACTTCCTGGATATTTGCACTATGGAGCAACAGGATCACTGTTAGACAACCTGAGTCAACAACACATTAGAGGATGGAGTTTTAAACAAGAAGACAAAAGCTTTGGAAGAACTACAGTGGATTGAAATCACCATCCAGTCTATAGAGGTGCTCTCCCTGGTGGACAAGAGGGAGAACTACAAGCTGAAGAAGACAAAATGCTTGTGTGGAGGAATGTCAGAATAAAGAATTTCATCTATTGCAAAAACAACAGAACAAATACAATTATTGATACATGGATCTCATTTAGAAAGACTGAAGGCCTCCAGTAACCGGAGATAATCTAGGAACATATAAAGACCCCAGGTCCAAACAGGAGACGAACCCAGGACTGCTGGGAGGTAGAGTTGTGACGCCATTAAGGGGTGGATACTTTTGCAACCTACTGTATATC